AGACGCTGGGGGAACCGTCTGATGGGGGAACCGTCTGATGGGGGAACGTGGCTCCACCTAACATCATTCTCTGTTTAATGGTGGATGAAATAAAGAAAGTGGTGGTACTTTATTTACTTTGAGGAAGTGAACGTCATGTTCACAAGATAATTAATCCACCAGATAATTCAGAGGCGGTCTGTTTAGTAAATTTTACTCCAGGAGCTGCGAGGCTTGTTTTCAAGCTTCAGACTGAACTGAAGCAGCAGCTGCTGACGTCATTACGCTCTTGCGCGATGCTGCGTTCAGGACAAGCATGAAAAACTCACCACTCTTATGCCAATATGGTCGCAATGATGCATTTAGGTACCGAAATGGAATTGCATAACCACCAGGTGAATGTTCATGTAATACAGCGAATCGATAATAAAAAATCTGCGTCGACAAATTTACATAATCGACGTCATCAATTATTTCAACTAATTGGTGCAGCCCTACACAAATGTAATATTTTTTTAGTTCCAAGTCCAGATTCACTAACATTTGTTTCTATAAAATAATGTTTAGAACTCCAGCAGTCCCCAGAAAATTACTGTTTTTAAATTTTGAAATATGAAAACTTATGTCTAATAAAAGAGGTGTTGCAGAAAACAAAAGGAAAACCTCAGAACTGACTTTACGTTTCCTGATCTAACTGGGCACCTAATCATTCCAGATGTGGAAACACGGCGCAGAGCAAAGGTCCTTCTATCAGCCAACACTTGACAAACAGTGGGTCTTTGTGATAAGCTCAAATCAATTTGGCTGCTCCTCTTCTCTGCAGTGCTGTGCATGGGCTTGAGCGAGGCATTCTTCACATACCATGCGCCATCACAGGATTTTCAAACCACAGATGCCCCAGATCTTAACAGACTAACTGCATTTAGTTGAAACAATCTGTGATTTAATCATCTGGCTTCATTTGCCTTTAAAAGCAGTTTCTACAGCTTCCAGAGAGAAGATACTGAGAACAGAACAGAACTGTTTGACTTTGCATTCTTTGTATTTAAGCACTCCTTTTTCAGTGTGAAAATACTCATGAAAACAAATGCACATATGCAGCATTGTGATAAGTCTTTTTTTTAATAGTTCGCCTATGACGCAAGAAAAAATACTTTATTTAAATACACCTGGTGTTATTTCACAGCATCAAATCTACATTTTTATCATTTTGCTTTAAATTTAAAACCTCACATCAAACCACTCTTATATTTTTTTAATAATCAGTTTTTAAGTTGCGCTTCATACCTTTAAAAATTAAAAACTTAAGGTTGTGATTTCTGTGGTTAAAAAGACCAAAAGAGCAGAGCTCTCTCTATGAAACACTAACTTTTTAAGATCTTTCATTCTTAAAGTGAGAAAAACTTCAAGCAGATCAGTTAAAACTCCACCTGATGTTTCAACATCTTAACACTTGAGCCTGTGTTACACAACCAAATTACTACTTGGCAGGAGGATATCGTATTGTACAACAACACAGAGAACTTCAATGTTTTTCTTTTAACATACCGTACTGACTGAAGGCACAGTTGCATCGAAGCATCGGACAGGCTAAGACATAAAAAACTACGAAAACAGAAGAATCCATCTGACAAATTGCTACAATATTAGGAGTGGCAAAATCTACAGTTTGGTCCATCCCGAGAAAGAAAGAAAGCTCTGGTGAACTCATCAATGCAAAAAGACCTAGAGGCCAACAGAAGACAACAGTGGTGGATGATGGCAGAATAATCTCCATGGTGAAGAGAAACCCCTTCACAACAGCCAAGCAAGTGAACAACACTCTCCAAAAAACGTGTATCAATATCCAAATCTGCCATAGAGAGCAATGAAAGTAAATACAGAGGGTTCACTGCACGCTGCTAGCCACTCATAAGCATCAAGAATAAAAAGGCTTGCTGAAAAATATCTAAAAAAAAAAGCCAGCAGAGTTCTGGAAGAATATTCTTTGGACAGATGAAACCAAGCTCAACCTCTACCAGAATGATGGAAAGAGAAAAGTCTGGTGAAGGCGTGGTACAGCTCATGATTCAAAACATATAACATCATCTGTAAAACACGACAGACACAGTGTGAAGGTGAAGCACGCTTATATGTTTTGTGTCACTCCAGTTGACCTTCAGTGTTAGTTTCCGACAACAAGTTGTCTGGGGAAAAAATGAAAGAAAAAAAAACAACTAAGGGATCACTAACATTACCAGCCAATTCTATTCTGTCGGACTTAAAGATAACAGTGGCAACTTTTGTTTGCAAAGATTTACGCCSAATTTACACCACATGCGTTCCATCTCCGCTCCGGTCCGACCTCCGCAGCAAATACACACCCATTATAATCAATGAGAGTGTTTACACTGGCTGCACATGGCTGCGCAAGGTGGCGGTGAGCGGACGGCGATCCGTCAAAATTAGAACAGATCCTATTTTTGCCGGATGCCGGAGCTGCGCCGGAGTCAATTTTTAAAGATTACATTGTATCAAACAGGAAAAGAAATGAGCACAACATCTGTGTTTTCAAAATAAGACACTTTTAGGCTGGATAATTTGTTGGAAAAATGTCGAAATTGCAGCTATATTAATAAATATACGGATATATTTCTACACAAATGTTGTCAGAATGTATCGTTCTGTTTGGGAAGTAGATGAAAACGTAGCATGAAGCATATGTGTACAGACACGATACACGTGGATTTTATTTTGAAATCAGAAGTTTCAGAAAGCCGACAGCGAGACAATTTCAACATAGATACCAAAAGCCTTTATATCAATGTTTTCAGCTGTGTTTGGAGTTCGTCTTTCACAGAATTAATTATTTTTTGCTCTGACTTCCACATTTATCACGTGATCTGCTTCCTGCACGTCTGTCGGACCGGAGCGGAGCAGAGGTGGTGTAAACTGGACATGAAACGCACAGCTGCGACCTGCGCAGCGCAGCGCAGCGGAGACAGAACGCAAGTAATGTAAATTAGGGGTCACACCCGTACTCTGTAGTGGAAAACAAAGTCTTCAAGCAGTTTGTTCAGGTGCTTGACCCGAACTATGATGTGTAAATTTTAGTTGAATATCTGTAAAACTGACAGACATAGCCATTGTTGTGTTAGCTAATGTTGATTAGCTGTGTAGCCATCTTGAATTATTTTGACTCCAAAATTTAATCAGTTGCAGAAGCASAGTTAATGATCACTTTATAAGGATTTTATTAAAATGCATCCAGTAGATTAAGATATTTAGATCACAGACACACAAAAACATCTCCTCCTCTGTATTTTAGCAGCAGGCGATAATTCAAACTTGTTTATTTTTTGCAAACCTTTTGGATGACCTGTACTGCTCCTGTCAAACTGTGCTCGACATCTTTAACTATTCAGTCCAGACTGGGACGCAGTACGATACCTGATGCAGATYTTTTTATTCAATAGTAAATAAGTATCCAGTTTTTTTACTTGTTAATAAAACCAATAAAAGCCTGCTATTAATAAATGGTACTGAACTTGATTTAAATCAGCCTGGAACTCTCCATGGACCACAGCAGCAGTCTCATTAAAGGAAAGTGGCTCACCTGGTCACAGCCCGCGTTGACGAGCTCCTGCAGCATCTGCCGGTTCACCTCTCCAGCCTCCCCTGACTGTTTGTCAGAGGGATTTTTGTAGGGCATCAGGGACCTTTGGATCTCTCGCAGTGCGTTCTGGTAGTTGTTGAACTTCTGCGGCGGTCGGAGCTGCTGCTGGCGGCTGGCCGTGTCCTTCCCGCTCTTGGAGTCGGCCCCCCTGCTGCCCTCTGTCCGGGAGCTGCCTCCGTGCAGGGCCTGGCTCATCAGCTTGGCCGGCTGCTTCAGACCCTCCTTAATCTCCTGAAGCCGCTGCCGCGTGTTGCCCACGTACGGGGCAGCTGGGAAAGTCTTGGGTCTCATGGCCAGAGTGGCCGGAAAGGACACCTCCTCTAACAGGGAGAATTGGCGCTCGATCAGCTATAGTCCCTGAAAAAAAACGTCTCAAACCAGCTGACCTGAACAGATAGAGGCACACAGATCAGGCACACTGATTTAGGAGACCTCCTGTGTTCCTCGGTTGTTTGTGTCTTTAGTTCCTGTTGGGAAAGCTGGAGCCAAATCAGGATACTACAGGCATTCCATGGTGTGTCTTTAAGGCTCAGGTTCCAGTTTATTCCAGGAAACACAGCCGCTTATGCTGGTACTGCAGAGCTGAACCATGGTGGTGCCAATCTGCTCCTGTGCAAGAAGAAAGATGCAGTTAGAACACAGCGATCGTTGTCATTACGGTCAAACTTTTATTTTATCAAAACGCAAAAAGAGCATCTTAACCACAAGAATGCTCTGCTTTGGCTCTAAAGACGAACCAAGATGTGGGACAGGAATGATAACAAAAGACAAAAGATGGAATATCAGGTGAAAGAAATGGAATTTTAAGTATGTGTCCAGTGGTCACAAAATGTCACAGCTCCTACATGGTGGTACCGAGTTGGAACTATTATTACCTGGAAGCCAGGGAGTCAGATTCAGTATCAGCGGTGCACAAGTGCTGCTGCATACCGTGTGTGTAACTCAGGCATGTCAGCGGCCATAAAACTCAACCGTAGCTAAAGTTGCACAACTGAGCTACAGTCACTACATACTTCTGCAGCGTGGTCATCAGTGAACACCCTTCTGAGAGCGCAGAGCTCAGACCAGGGGTCACAGCGAGTCAGAGGACCCTCCCCACGTCAGCCCCTTCTGACGGTCAGACACTTCACACCACCTGACGGTCCTCTCCGGRGGAACATACTCCACATTCTGCCAAAGCAGCGTTACTCCTGCCGAGCATTCGGGATGACGTGTGGAAAATGTACACGATCCTGGCTTCCCATGTGGACACTCACATGAGGATCGAAGGGAAACACTTGCATCTGAAATATCAGGAGTTTGAAAGATTTATTTCTGTATAAAAAATAAAGACTTGGAGGGCAGCTGGTTAAGTGGCACCAAGCACAAAAACACTAAAAAGCAACGACAAAACAGCAAACTTAACTTTTTATTGTCTTGTTTTGTTGTACTTTAAGCTACATTTCTATTAAATTTAGACCCAATTGACTGATTTAATGCAGTGTTTATTCCATTTTCTTGAAACTAAAAAGTCTCAGTTTAATTTAGCTTGAGTTTTTTTTTAATACAGCTAAGTCAGAGGGGTTAGAAGTTGCCTGGCCCTTGCCTTCCTACGCAGCTCCGCTCAGTTCTAGTTTCCCTTCTCTGCTCCGTCTGGGACTTCTCCCATTGAGATGGATTTCACTGGCAGATTTTTAGCCGGATCAATCAGAGAACAGAACGTCAATTTTCTGCGCAGTGTCTCTTGTAGTTTATTTTACCTGGACCAATCAGAGAACAGAAGGAGGAGTTTTGAATGACATCGATGTTCTGCACAGTGTCTGCTAGTTATTTTAGCACACGGCAGTGGAGGAAGTGAATGAAGCCAGTCCGTGTTGATAAGGCTTCCAAATTAAAATAAATCTGACAAAGCAGCAGCTCTCATTTACAGTYGTCTCATTCGGCTCGGTATATTTCTCCTCTCAGTAGGGTTGTTTACAGCACACGCGATTTCTGGTTAGCTTCTTAGCTTAGCCTCCTTCACAGCGACAACACACACAYGCTTCAGCAGAGGCCACGCCTCCTGCAAGAAATCGATTTTCTATGCAAAAGTCCAGACCCTCGTACGAAGCAAAGTGAAGGACAGGATCTGGTTTTTACCAGGCTAGGTTAGAAGAGTCATCCTGTAACCTGTGGGTTGCTGGTTCAATCCCCAGTTGTACAGTCAATGCTCAAAGGATATGAGCAAGGTTGGTATTTTGCCCATTAGTGCTGAACGATGCTTGATGATAAACATATTAGATACTCTAGTCCCTTGTTTTCACACAACGCATGATACTCTGTATGTTTAAGTTAAACAAGGGTATTGCTATAGTATTCTGGACTGATGACACTGTATACAGCACACATAAGGCATTAATCTGTGTTTTTGACAAACAAAAAGTACAATGTGAAACACCTAACACCTAGCAAAACAGCAGCCACAAATCTTGCCTATAGGGTTGGGCAATATTGGCAAAAAAATAAATTAATCACGATTAACTGTGGTATTTAGCAGATAATTAGTCACATGACCAATTTAAGTCACACTAGTGGGAAAGATTTCCTCTTCATAAAAATCATTTCCAAATTGTGTCAAAAGTAGTCTTTAGGCTATACATAATTTTTTTAATTGTGTTGATAGACCAAGTAAAATTGAAGTTATAATAAACAAATAACAGAACTTTTTAAAACAATGTTTGTCATATTTGAAGTGGTGAGGAGCATAGAGCGAACTGACCGGAGGAATCTCCAGTCAGTCAGCCCGGCTGTTTTAATCGTCAAGTATCATAAAGTAATCGATTCGAGTTTTTCTGATGATTAATTGCACACGATATGATTTTGCATAACCCTACTTGCCTTGTGCTGTCACTAGGGCTGCCACAAACGATTATTTTTATAATCGATTAATCACAGATTATTTTTTCGATTAGTCGACTAATCAGATCATATGTTAATTGAATATAAAACATAMAGCTTATCGCGCCAGAATGYAGCTGCTATTATATAACCATGGTTAGATTTTAGCTGWATGCTAACTAAAAATAATTGCTGTGGAAGGTAAGTTCTGCTCTGCAGATATTACACAGGTTTCTCTTTCATTTTCTTAAAATGATCCCACACTTTGAGCTCTGTTGTCAGGTAGCCATGATACCAGAGCCTGTCTGTATAATGTCTTGTGACGTCCACGGCCTACCCCAGTTACCACTACTGTGCATGTGTGTCAAGGACAGAAAGGCAGATGTGGCAGTGGAAGCTGTCAAAGCAGTTTGGAGAGAAAAACAAAGTAAAGAACAAAAAAAGAAAAGAAAACGATTAATCTATTATTAAATTAGTCATAGATTATTTTAATAATAGATTAGTCGTCGATTAATCGTTGCAGCCCTAGCTGTCACTAGTGATGTGGGTATTTAAGTCCTACTTACTCTCCTCCACACATTCACAAAACACATTTTTAAAATTTTTAATTTAACCATTGCAGTACGTGAATCAGCAAGGGCCAATACTTAATTTTTTTAATTTAAGTATTAAAAAATACTATATTTTAATGTTCCTCCAAAGGCAACGTCCATGTTATTTACATGAAGGTGGTAAGACTTAAAAATTGTACTAGAGCCAGGTTATGGGTGAAACTTGTTCAGTTCTGCCTTCAACTTTGTGGTTCCATTGGGATTTCTTCATGCTTTGTCTCTTACATGGTTGAACCTAGCCTGGTAAAAACCAGATCCTGTCCTTCACTTTGCTTCGTATGAGAGACTGGACTTCTGCATAATCGTTTCTTGCAGGAGGCGTGGCCTCTGCTGAAACATGTGTGTGTTGTCGCTGTGGCGGAGGCTAAGCTAAGAAGCTAACCGGAAATCGCGTGTGCTGTAAACAACCCTACTGAGAGGAGAAATATACCGAGCTGAAYGAGACGACTGTAAATGAGAGCTGCTGCTTTGTCAGACAAATTTATTTTAATTTGGAAGCCTTCTCAACACAGACTGGCTTCATTCACTTCCTCCACTGCCGTATGCTAAAATAACTAGCAGACACTGTGCAGAACATCGACGCCATTCAAAACTCCTCCTTCTGTTTGCTGATTGGCCCAGGTAAAATAAACTACAAGAGACTCTGCACAGAAAACTGACGTTCTGTTCTCTGATTGGCCCGGCTAAAAATCTGCCAGCTAAATCCTTGTCAATGGGAGAAGTCCCAGACGGAGCAGTGACGGGAAACTAGAATTGAGCGGAGCTGCATAGGAAGGCAAGGGCCAGGCTAGGTTGAACCTAAACTTAAAATAAAGTTCATATATCAAAAGTATTCAAAAATAAAAGTCAATAAAATGTAAAAAGATTGGTCCTGTTGAAGAAACTGAAAGTTTGTCCATGTGTTTATTTTGAGGCACACCAGGAACAAAATTTACTGTTACATTAACAAACAGGGTTATAAGCTAGCTGTGTCCAAAACGGCAGGCCGGGTCCCCCGAAGGCCGAATTCATCGGCCGCATACGTCACAGCGCCGCGACGAAGGACGTCCCAAACCGAAGACTCCTCCGATGCGGCCGACAAATACGTCCTTGTTTTTCCCTGATTTGAAGGACTGGTCTGATGGATCCTTCCTGGCCCAGCATATCCCATAATGCATTGCGGCCCGACCGGAGATTTTTTTTAAGCTAGTAATGGCGGACGAAGGGAGAGAAAAAAAATAAGTTTTAAATAAAAATATGAGGATATAAAAATTTAAATTTTTTAGCGGTTGTTATTCTAATACTTTTATCATTTGTATAGACGTGTTTTTAAATATTAGTTTTGTCATAAAAAAAACACGAAATAAACGTGCACCTACGGCGGGTCAATTAGTTCTTCAAATGTTACCTTTAAGTTAACTTTATTGTTTTGTGATATTAATAATGCTAATATATTGATATTTTTTTATTTTTGATCTATTTTTGCTTCTGTTTAGCGTCGTCATCGTTGCTAGGTGACATGATGTACGCCGGGGTGGAGGGGAGGCTAGACCGTCCAAATTCACAGCCTCTTTTTTTCCGGTCTTCCCGGTCTTCCAAGGACCCGGCCCACCTCGACCGGGTAGTCTGCGTCCTCCGGAGGACCCGGCCTGTCGTTTTGGTCACAGCCATAGTTTAGCTTTATCCTACAGTTTCTAATGCTGAATACTAAAGAAGAACATTAAGAAAGATAATGTGCCTGTTAACATTACTACTGCTAGTTTTATAATTAGAATCTGCCACATTGCCCAAAGCTAAAAGCTCAGCAGACACAGCAGCCAAACATAAAAAGCTGTGGAGTAAACACCCCCACTCTGCCCCTCCCTGCCAGTCTTCATCCCTTTGGGCTATTTCTAAGGACACAGCCCTCACTGTTTGAACAGATAAACTCTGGGCAAACAAATACACTATTTTTTTTTTTTTGCTTAAATATAGCTGGGCAGCAGGGTGGTGTAGATTCTCCATCTCTGACATCTCCCGTCCCCATTCCTGCGATGCTTTAAGTGCTGCGACAGAACGATGAGCATTCCATTCCACAAGCAACTACAAGTAAAATACCTCGGCCGGATCATGGGACAGCCTGTGCTGACCAAAATAAAATAAAATAAATAAAATAATAAGATGGAGGATGGAAACTGGGTTGAAGATGTTACTCAGCGGTAAACCCCTAAATATAGTTTCATTTTAACACCAACACTCCCCTAATCTCTGCTCCCGTGTTCTGACTCAAAAAGTTGGACGTCAAAATGAAAACTGGCTGAAACTTCTTATTTTCCCAAAGAATGTTGAATGTGTCATCATATAAGAATGTGCACAAATACAGTTTTTTTTTTTACTGAAACAATCACTTCTATTATGTCCTTTTTCTGAAACTGAAATAAGAATATTCCATCTACAATATATATATACACAATAAAATTTCAAGTAATTAACAATTCAAGGTCAATTACTGAACAGATGAAATAAAGTTCAGACCCCTTCGGGCCGACCAGCTGCTCATCTGATGGACTCTGAATAAATGTTCTGTAATTCTTAGAAAAACCACAAGGTGTTGATGATAGGAAGGGAAATTTGGATTTAAATGAAGAAAACAGGTGGGTTTAGTTATTGTTTCACATGGATTTCTGACACTCTGCTGCACATGGTGGCTCTGCCTTTTTTTGCGCCAAACTGTAGATTTTGTATCTAAAAACGTGGGAAGGATTAATGTTCTGCCATAGCACAGAATAATAAGGAAAAAAAGTGGAAATTAACCAAATATTACAAGTATGTCCAAGCTTGAAAGTGACGTTGCTGTTGCGCAACTTACCAAAAAAAAAAAAAAAAGACAAACAAGAGTCAAATTCCTGCAGTTATGAAAATTGTGCGTTTCTGTATGAGAGAAAGAGGATTTAAATTGTCGTTTGCACAATACATTGCAAATTTATCATTATGGTGAGAACAGCCTGTGCAATAGGAATATTGCTAAAAACTGGTAAACTGCAATAAATTGTCGGGTCAAACGTTTGCATTTTATCAGTGTTAATAATAATAATAATAATAATAATAATAATAAT